CCGGTTTGCTTTACGTAAGAGTTCCTGGAGCTTTTGGTAGAAGTTATCTTTGCATCTGGGCTACAATCGGTGGGTGCATACGCCGTAAGGACAAACAGATTGAGTCTATCGAAGTGGCTACTGCTCACTTTATACGAACCCCCTGAATCTCACTGCGCATAATCGACTGTCGACTGGGATCCAGTCTAGCAACACCGCTTCAGCTACTTACTGAGAATAATGCCAACACCAACAAGACCAGAAGCCGCAGCCTCAGCGTCCCCAGGAAGGCGTAAGTGAAACTTCACAGAAGGATTAAAATGGGGCATCAATCGAATTATCGAACTGGAGTCTTAAATGCAACACACATTGATGGCAAGGGATTCAAGCGACTGAGCTAAACTCGCTTGTTGTCCTATACGCATCGGGGTTCGCACGTTGAATGGACATCGAGGATGAAGCAGGGCATCAGCTGGTGATAGCGGGTTCGATGAGATTCGGAAGCTAGTCAGAGAAGGACCAGAGAGAACATAGCCAGGATTTCCATCAGCGGCAATACAGCAGACACGGTCTAGCGAAGAACCCGTGGGATGTGAAAATGGAACAGGAAATGTGAAGGGAGTGAGATGGGAGGACAAGTTATCTACGGTGTGGTTGACTGTTTATTTGTGAGCGCGAAACGGCAGTTAATCACAGTGGTAGAGTCTACTATGATTGTTTGCGTTGCTGGCTGTTGTACTACTCGATCGCCCAGTCCAGAATAGGCATTTTTACTCGATGCACCACCAACCTCAGTGCATCCAGTCGTGTCCTGCAAGGTAGCAGGGTCGGTCAAGATGAGCCGGTGACCAATTGTGTGGTTCATTCGTCTCTTCCGGAAGCCTCTGGGAGCCGGTGACTGGTTGTTCAGTCCATACGCCCTTCCGGTGAGGTTAGACACTAGGTGCCCAGGACATCCTTCCACAACATATCCCTGTAAGCATAGTGCTGTATGCTTTATTTGCCACCCGTGGTTGGTTTGAAATCAACGTTTAACCAACTTTCCTAGGCTGGCTATCCGTCAACCAACCCAATGGAAAGCGCCGGGCATTCGCTTTCACCCCCTCACTTGAGATCCGTTCTTTTATGCGGTTCAGAAACATCGCCATTAAAAGTAGAAGATAGGGAAGACTGTCGGTGTTCGAGCACCGATGTCCCCCTAGCATTACCCGAGTATGATAGGAACGCCATATCAGCAATGCTGAGGTTAGGCGTAAGGTGTTGGGAACCACAGGTCGTTCTGTGGATCAAGTACTGAATCAAAACAAGTTAAGCTGGTTGCGACATGTGTTACTCATGTCCACCGATAGACTTCCTCGGCGTACGCTGTTCTCTGAGGCCGGTAATGGTTGAGAGGTATTTCGAGGTGGTCAGTATATGACATGGTAAAAAGGTATAAAAACCTTGACCAGTGGAATTGGCCAAGTAGGACATGTCAGACTTCCAGGTTGGGGTCCACGAGATCCGCATACCAAATGGTTGGAGACATTAAGTGATATGGCTAGGTGTCGTGGCCAGTGACGTGGTTGCATTTGGACTCTTGCTTTGTCTTCGTGATTTCCACTTGTTACTTTGATCTTTGAATCTCTTTCGTTTGATGCTTATAGTCTTTCTGCCTTTTACTGGACGATGCTGGATGGTAGCAACCAAAACCGGAGCACAGCAGTGCGAGGTGAGCATACTGTATAAACTGAACTAAATTGGCGTACTATGTGACCGCCGTTTGAGCACCACGTCAGCAGGTGTAGCTTGTGATGGTGGAAGCGAGTGTCGGAGACGTGCAGTTTTTTGTAGTCTGTGAAACTAACGGGGCGAGTACGATTGTCGCATTGTTGTCCAAGGCCATATTTCTCTAGGATGTATCTAGCCACTTGGTTTGAAAGACCAGTACGATCATTCCAGACCCCCGCAACAAGAAGTATATCTCCATTTGGGACACTGTTAACCACTTCCTGCAACCTGTCGTAGAACTCATCTTTCATTGTCTCTTCTGATGTTAATTTCGGAGCGTAGACTGCAACAACTGATATGTTCAGGGGCGATGAACGAAAAAGAGATACAGCAATTCGAGGGGAAATCGGGTTCCATGAAAGCAGCGCCTTGTTAGCCCTGCTACTGACGATGGTCGCGGCGCCGTGAAGACCGGAGTTGTCAGTAGGTCAGCTGTGGTAGGCTCGGTAGTAGTCGTTTATTCCGGGGAACTTAAAACTCTGTGTGCCAGAATTAGGCAGACGAATTTCGGAGAGACGTGCAATGTCTATTTAGTAACTGTGTGGCGTGCGTGTCGTGATGGCCTGACTACCGATGTCAAGGAGTGTTCTCACATTCCAGCAGGCAATGTGAATGTGCTTGCTCAGTTTGAGGTTCCCAGCTAGTATATTTGACATCCCTGTCACAAAAAGAACACCAGGTGCGTTGCTTATCGGTGAAGCCATAGCATAATTATGGTGTACTGCAGCAGCAAAATCTATAAAAGGTCTTGCGAATAGCGTACAAAGTGGCGTACCCAGTGTCATTCGGCTTTTTTGTTCGAGGCTACACCTAAAGCACAAAAGTGCAAGGTTACCGGTTGAATAAACTGAAACTGTACTTCCCACTTTAATGGGAACACCTCCGCCACAGGAAGGCAGTAAGTAGAACCCCTCAGCAGAGGCTGTGGCAGATGCATGGTCATTTGAGAGCATTTCAGGCGTTCAGGACGAGTAGCCATTTCGGATGGTAAAACACCCAACGTCGACCATACGGAGGCATTGGATACATCGCGATGGATGACGCTGTTGTATTTACAAGCTCTCTGAATTCACTCGATGCAACTGTTTGTAGATGTGTTCAAGCTGCATCTCGTGTTACACTTGCCCGACAAGGTTTCTCAGGGGAGGTGAATGAATCATACAGTTGGCCACCGGCCCGTCTGGACGATCGCTCCTGCTTTGTGGGATGCGCTTGACTTCGCAAAAGCTAGACGTGCACCCTCGAATGAAAAAATCTCTGCACCGGGTGACTGATTAGTATAACAGTCCAAGACATGCAACTGTGAAAGAGATTAATTACAGTGAGTGACTGGTGTACTCTGTTGTGCTTCCCCATCTAATTTCATATTTGTTGTTGCGTGGGCACCGTGCTTTCAAGCCGGTTCGGTTGAAAAAATTATCACCGTGGACTGGGTGCAGTGGTTGTGGTTGCTATCTCTCAACGGCAACCTCAATGGGAGAGATAGCAACCACAACCGCTATACACGGTAAGAATGTTTTGAACTGAACCAGATTCAAGCATCGCTTCGAAGACGTCGGTGTTCGAATGCCGGCAGTTTTCTTATATCGTCCACCCGCCACTGACCGTGACATTTATCATCTTCATCCATCTTGTGGCTAAATATCACAGCTCCTTTCCCCACAGCCCAAGAGAACCTACTAGACCAATTTATCTGATAGTCTTCATGCATTTTGCCAAATCATTCACTGACCGCCCCGATCCATCCTCCAACCTCTACCTCGTCGTAGGAATATTTTCTCCGAGGGTGTGAGAGTGCGTAGAACGTCCCAGACACCTTAACCTGTTCAAAGTAATAGGTGAATCCATTGAATGATTGCTTGTTCCCAATATCGATATTGCTACGTATGGTGCGTCCATAGTCTAGCACGGACATTCTTTTAATCGTAGGGACCAAGTTGCTAAGCCGAATATGGGGATTGATCTAACTTCCGCAGCATTCACGCAGCCTACGGTGTACAATGACGTTATGCCGACGCCACCGGTGGTTTACATCGACGAAAACCAGACGGACCGTATGTTCACATGACACTTCATCGGATATCCAGTCGTCTGATAAGATGCAACTGCATCGATCTTTGAGACCATGGATGTTTCTGTAGTATCGCTGACATTGGGTGGAATGACCGAGTGAGCAATGCGTAGGTCAGTAACTGAGCATTGGATACTAGTTCAGGGAATGTTCCGTCACAGCGGATCTAACTTGGTAGACTTCGTTGGTCGAGGCACGTGTTACGTATGCAGACACATGTCTACCATACCGTATCCCGTTTTCTGTTCCTGCTGGACTGTGGAAGGAGCCACGTGGGGGTTAACAGATGACGTGGCAACGAGAAATGAAGAAATATACAGCGAACTTAGGAAAAGTAGGTGCCTGAGGTCCAAAAGATCTTCCAATCAGTTGATTGGAGACACCGAAGGAAATGACAGCAAACGATGTCGTCATTTTCTGTCAAATCAGAATGATCGATCGATGTGCGTTTGTACAGTTAGACTGTGTATTCCATGTGTTGACTGTTAGGGTGTTGTTTGTTTTTCCCGCCTGTGTAGGTCCATCTTGTGTATTCATTCTTTCTGTTGCTACGTGCAAGATGGTGAGAAAGGCAGTGGTCAGTGGGGCTCGCTTTGCTGTTTAACGCTGTTTGATGACGTTGATGATGCAGCTGCAAAGGTGAAAAATTTATGTAATTCAACTATTATTTTCCCTGCTGCGATAAGGTTTTGATGTCGGTCCATCCTAATTCTGCAGCACCGTATTACATCTGGAAATTGCGAAAAGCCTCCCAAACATCGCTGCACTGTTGTTTAGACCGTACGAAAGAACCTGCATCTCATCTGTGTATTCATTTTGAACCATAAATTGTTCCGTATATTCTGTGTCAGAAAGCTTACCGTCTGAACGAAGGTCATTTTGGTTGTGGTCGCGTGATAGGTTCCGAAGTGTGTATTTCCCTTAACGCCGTTCAGTGATTTGAAGTAAAATGCAGCTAGTGGAATTATAGGAGACTTATCGAAATCCCGTGCTCGTTCGTTCATCTTACCTGGCTTCTTTGTGCTCCATTTGTACTATTCACCCACTTTTAACTATTTCGTTGCAAATAATAAACATTCCTTTTATAGTTTGTAGCTTTACCAAAGTGTTCGGTTATCGTGATCTTTAACTAATTTATTACTCGGTGGCCTTCATGGAATGCGCTTTTATGCTCTTACAGCTTCTGGTCTTGACTGTATGGCCAAAAATACTGGAAACACAGAGTTTCGTAAGGTTGATGTTGACCAGTACACAGAATCTACTTTTCGGGACGAACAGGCAGAGGAGACTACTCCGATTCGTTTAAATGAAGCTGAAGTGAAAAGTTTAATAGAAAAAGGCAAGTCGGCTGAAGGCTTGCTGCTTGTTTTGCAAAATGCCCCAATAAATTCCAAGGACCAGGCGCTAAAAGATCTGGCGTTTCGACTGATCATGCGTTTGTTGGCCCAGATCAAATCCGCTAACATTGACGAATTCGTGGCCAGTTTGGACGGAGAAAAAGTTGATCTGCTGATGAAGTACATTTATCGTGGATTTGAAAATGCTCAAGATGGGAATAGCGCCATGCTTTTAACGTGGCACGAAAAGGTGAGTTGACTTTTGACATCAACGCCGCTTACAAATCCTGTTTTATTCTGTTTGCTTGGGCTATTCCCTAACGCTTCCTGAACGTGGCGTATTATTCCTCTGAAGGAGTCACAAATATGTCCCGCCGAGTATCCATACGTGTGAAGTTGCATAATTCTGTGTTGAAGATGTGCTTCATTTTCTTTTTTTTTAATTTGCGACGCCATGAATATAGTAAGACTTGACTATTTTCACTGCAGTTTGGTCACCCGTCTTGATAGTATGTAAACCCGGTTGAGTACAGCTTCATGAGTGTCAGTAAGGGTCTCCTATGCGATCATTGAAACGAAGCTTGAATTGCATCGCACATTTCGCTCCAAATGATGCGCCAGATACAAATCAAGGTCCCCTTGTACCGTCCAGTGCACATCAATAAGCAAATAAGCTCTTCCTACCTGGTCTCACTTAACCCTACAGCGAAGTGAAGCGGCCTGCTGCACTTTTTCTAATTTCCCGAGTTGAGCGGTTGGAAATAAGAGCTGCGTTATGCTCTGTTCACGGACGGACGTCAGAGGTATACAACAGTTTGAAGGCGTCATACGAGCTTACCAGACGGTTAACGAAGGAAATATATTATGCATTATGTTGTGGCACACCGCGTTCGCATGGTTCCTTAGCTTCGGCGGCATTGTCACTGTTGCATTCGGATCGCGTTCACAATTTGTCACTCGAAGGATAAGTCCGTGGAAGGAATGTTTATCATTAGACGTCACATCTGCATCTATGCATTTCTGGACGTTAACAGAAAGAGTACAGGTAATGGATAATTAGCAGGGAGCATCCAAGTATACCTACATCTCGCGTTTGTCCTCGCTTCTCTGGATCGTGCACCGGAGTTTGAGGCCGGTGACATATATCAGACAGGGGGACTTCATCACTTGGATAAAGTCGTTGAAAGACGCCAGGAGGAATGAAGGGACCCTATAGTAATCCCAGCAGGATCCCAATACGAGCCGCCTGCTACGAAAAAAACAACTGCGAAATTCACTATAAGAAGCTCATCTATTGTATGGCACATTGCCAATTTTACTCGAATAAATTGTGCATTGTCCAAAAATCATCGTTTTATTTTAGGCTCTTAACTTCTTAATATTGAGCAGGTAAAGCACAGTGTCTAAAAAAGATTCACAGAACTGTCCCGTTGTCGTATCGCAGATAGCTTATTATTTAAAATCATATTCCAATTAAAATTTTTGTTAAGTTCTTTTAGTACGTCCGGGTCTTTGGCCTGTTTCAGTTGACTGATTATTATGTGCTCATTGGGAATAATCAGTCAACTAAAATATATTTGTCTTGTTTCGTACCTAATTGTCTTTCAGGTTCACGCTCGTGGCAAAGCCGGTTCAATAATTCGAGTGATGACCGATAGACGACGAGTTTAACTTCGTTTCTGACGGCTGCGTTACTTTCCAATTTTGCAGAATTTTTTTGTCTCGTATATCATCAGTGGACTCCTTGAATACGGGTTTGTACTTCAGCTCATTAACTCCGAATCCTGTTTCGCGCTTTCTGTAACTACAGGTCACTGTGACCTCATCTATTGCTCATCTGCTTCATTTCTGCTTTTTGACATTTTTCCGTTTGATGGGGTGAGGGGGTTGCGATCACAGCTTCTCCTTGCCAGTGTTATATAAATTATCCCCTGTGGGTTGTTCTGCGATCATTGTGATCGATACAAAGACATTCTCAGATGGATTGGTCATAAAGCAGTTTGTCGCGTCGAACTTTGTGTGACGGGGATGTGGTTATATCCACTTGTCGTTTAGAACAATCGTAAATGCCACAAAACATTTACCCCTCATACTCGTTAACGCCACAGTCAGTTTTAGCCGCTTGCCGTTCACAGTTGAATCCACAGAAGTAAGAAATCATTGGAAGTGAAACTCAATCACTGAATAAATTTTCTATTATTTTCATGTACCTATAAACATTTCAACACTTGAACTGTTTAGTATTATGCCTAATATCTTTAATGAACGATGTTTCGGGACTCTTGTTTTGTTTAACAAAGAGCGTTCCCAATTGTGTATACTCAGCCTATGTGATGAATGTTTTTCAAGCCCACGCCTAAGTGCCGTGAAAGCTACAAGGGCACGTCCACGGATCGTCTACATCGATACTAAGACGTAGAATTTTGAGACTCGTGGTCTGGATAGGCCAAACATGGTAATCGTATTAGTGTTTGCAACTTCAGATCGCGGGTTGAAGTTTGTTGCGGACGAGGTGAAATGAAAATCAGAGGGCCGTACTACCTCTGACTATGTCGAGTTCCAAAGAGCAAATATCAAGTATACGGCGAAGTGGCAATTCAAAATTGATATGAATTTATGTTTTCTATTCAAGATTCAGTCTTTGTTAGCGTAGGTAATTTTTTGAGTAGGCTGTGTGCATCAGTTATAAACCGTAATGGTAATACCATCTGCGTAATGTAAGGAAGAGCACGCCAGCGATTAACATATGCTTTTTTACCAGTCCACTTCGTCAGGTTTGACAGCGGTCACTGGCTTCTGCAGTCAGTTTTATGAGCACAAACAGTTCCGTTGTGCGATTTTTTGAAGTAAATAGGCGTGAGTGAGATCGAGCAAGTGGTATACAGTCTTGGAAATCAACGAACGATTTAAGGAGGGGGAAATCAATGGATAAACGCGTATTTCAAGGTACTTTGTTGGTCAGAACTAGGGACGACAGTGAACCTTTGGTGTTGACCTGTGGTGGGCACACTTCGGGCGACATTCACTGCCCTATCGACCAAGTTTGATCGTTTGCATCAGCAAGCTGAAGTTCAACGGAAACGTTTGTTGCGACTAATGCTCATTGAATCTCAGCTGACGAAAGCTCTTCGCGAAAACACTGAACTACGTTCGCGTCTAACCGAGATTCACTTGTCACAACCAATCAGACCGGTACAACCCTCTGTCTCAGCGAATAGCAGTTGTGTCACATCGATGCCGGAGATGGAAACCACGGATTGTTCGCATAGTTCTGTCTCAGCTAACACGCTACGAACTCCACTCATGACGGCGACCGTGTCGGAACCTGTGACAACCGAAAACACGTCGAATCAAGAAGCCACATCTGTTGGGCCCAGCACTCGTCCCGTTTCTTTACCACAATCTGTCGTGCCGGCATGGATTGTGCGCGCATCTACAATGCAAACTGTACCCCCTACTCCATCGGTGACCCCTCCAAATACAACTGGAACTGGATCAAAACAAACAGCCGAGATCCGACCAATCACCAGCAATGTGGCCACTGTGATTCCCACACCGTCGCTGCAATCAGTTCCAACTGCCTCATTAGCCACACCGTGTGATTCATTGTTTACGCCGATCGTGCAAATTAGTCCTTCTCATTCGGCAACGACGCAGGAATCGACAGGACTTGGTACAACTTCAGTCACCTCCAGCATGCATACATTCATGGATCAGTCTAACCTGTTCCGCTCGGATCCTGTATCTAGTGGTTCGGTACGAAATGCATCCACCCGTCGTTCGAGCCAGGCAACTGGAGAATCTCAGTCAACTGTTATAACCACCAGTCTACCGTTTGGTTGGCTTTCTGGTCCCGCTGCCCAGAGTGGTTTGACTTCATTTGTCAGCGCATCTGGTAAGCGTCGCCTAGATGAGGTGAATACCCCAGGAGAAACAGCTGGAACTACCCACAGCCACAGTTCTGCAGAAGAGGGTGGTATATCTGTTGCCATCATCAGCACTGTTGCATCAGTAAGTTCACCGGATGGTGCCCGTACCTGGGATACTCAGGCTAGTTCCAGTCACGCAACATCGTATGGTTTGTCTGCCCTGTTCTCTGAGGCCAAACGGCCACGTCAGACTGGAACAACCGCGCCAATGACAACAACACAGAACAGACCGATTTTCGGACATTCCTTGACACCGCAAGCCACCGCTTCCCGTTTATTTCCCCACATCGAACATGCCGTCACTTCATTGGCCCCTGTGATCCGATCATCTGTCTAACACAATAAGTCAGTCTATATTATGTGGCACCTAGTACAGTGATACGTTAGATATAAGGGTATAAAAGTATTTACTAGTCAACTGAGTCTTCAAGGGGGTGATCAGGATTTTCGTCCACTATATTCACGGTTGTTTCTGAAACAGGAAGGAAGAATTAGGAGTATGAGACGTATGTACAGTAGGGTCAACGGGTGTATATCTTAAGGAGATAAGCAGCCATATTTACAATGTTTCCGCGCCACACCATACCCCTCTTAATCAGGAACCGGCCCGGTGCCTCGCCACGCCTCCTTGACTGAGTATTTCTACCTCTGCGCCCACTTCTGGGACTTCATTGCTATCTGTTGGATAACTGACGCTCTCTGTTTCCAACACCGGCTTCAACCGATTGAAATGAACGGTGAGTGTTCCGAATCGACCGGTCTTGTCGCGAACAGAACAAAGATTTTCAGAAATAATCCTTTCTACGACGAACGGCCCTGTCCATTGTTTATGCAGTTTCGCTGGAACGTTCATCGGTAATGCGTCGGAATGCAAGAACACAGTATCACCTACTTCTAGCGGCGATCCGTGGGCTTTCTTGTCGTAGTATTCCTTCTGTTGTCGATGGCTCTCTCGTAAATTCCGTCGGGCAAGCTCATGCGTCTTGATCAAAGTTCATTTAAGTTCTACTATGTAGTCCGTTACTGGTTGAGGCAGTCGCCCGACATAGGGCGTTCGTAGGTCACATGGGATACGCATTCCTCTCCCAGTTTATGCGGAACGGTGCGACAGTTTTTTAGTAGCACTGAGCGGTGGCGTACACGCCGGATTTATAAGGTTCGCCCTACATTTACATAGTGAAAATCGAGTCAGTCCGGTGCTTTTGTTCGCTTACCGTTTACTTTGAACCAGATGCAAGAATATTCATCTGTGCAAATTAGCTGTGTGGATACCATCGCTGTAGTAAATTAAGTCATGTGACTTGCCTAGCAAAAGTGTGTATTATCGGCCTTCCAGTTGCAGTATTGCGGTGTCTGCATCCCGTTTATTATTCGGAAGCCGCAATTTAGGTAAAAAGCTTGAATGAACTTCCAGATACTCCCCGTTGAGAATGATTTGCTGTGTTTAGCCGTGTCGTGTTGCTTCGTTATCCGCATTCAGCGTGCACATGTGATAGGGTCAGCGCTGTTTAGCTTGTTATGGTGTGGTATTTATCCTTGTTTTCAGACTTGCCTGACGGGCGGGTTGATTGTTGCAATTCCACCGATTCGGGCGTCATCTATGTCACTCAGGTGTAACGATAATGATTAATTGTGTACCAGCGGTCCAGTCCACGTAAAGACAGTCGTAATATGACGGCAAGATGCAAATTTGTGGTTGACCTGCCCCCCTTTACTTCATCATGTTCGATGCGTCTAACGTAGTTGCGTTCATTGTCAATCCATATATAATATATATATATATATATATATATATATATATATATATATATATATATATATATATATATATGGGTCTATTGGAAACACTTCATAAGCACACGTGGGTTCAAAGACATCTAAATCATGAGGACACCAACTCATCACTCCTCTTTAGTATCGTTTTTCGTATTTATTGTTGTGGATCGGTATGGGTACGAACAACGGAAAACGAATTTGTTCGCCACATTTCTTGTTCTGAATGCCTACTTTTCCATCGTTTTGCATCAGTTTTTACCTCGTGTGTGAGCTAAGTTAAACGATTCCTCATTCAGGTAAAAGATTTCCGCTGGCTTCATTCTGCTCTTGAGGTTCATTTCACGATTCTTTGTTGCCTCGGTTATCTTTCATGAACTCTTTCCTCAGTCCTAAATGAAAGGCTGTTCTCCTGCATTCTCGAGAGTCATGAGTTCCAAATCCGACTGACAGTCAACATAAGCGTTCAATTACACTGATCTATATTGTTCACTGGAATTCGTGAGCTGTCGTTAACTATCCGCATCTTTGTCGTCAAGCTTAACTATTGATGTATATAAAACAAGATGTAGCAAGTCATAAAATAGAATCCTGTATTGCTTTGATTTCATTGGATGGATGCTCACTGATCCATACAGATCATGCACATAAACACGTTAGTCATCCGCAGAAGTTTTGTATGTCTATCGTCATAATTGATCGGAGATCAAATCAAAACGAACTATCTCGTAAAGCTTTAGTGAAGCGATGGATAGAGAAACAGGTATGTGTCGGTGGAGCGTGGTCGATATAGGAGCAGGTGGAAGTGCATGCATTGAGATGGAGAGGACGCGTGTCTGTTTTTCATGTGAAAGTACGAAGAATAACTTCATTCTACAGTAGAGCTCATGGCGAAAATCAAAGGCGAAGCAGAATTGAAATTATTTTGGATGTGATACAAAAGGACATCGGTGTTTGTTTGGATGGCTCCCGTGAGTTTTCTAACGTCTTATACAAGTATGTGGAATAAAAAATGCTATACGGTTGCTTTGAACCGCTTTTCTGTAGCATTTCGATAAATCGTTGTAAATAAAATTACATCGTCAGTGAAAGTGATATTTTTGATACACCAGTGAACGCTTTCCCTCTGCTTTTTTGACCTTAGCACGTTTTCCAGATTCACACGCTTGACTTGCGATAATGTAGAGGCCTAAAATAAATAGTTAAAAATACTTCTTTGGCTCAGTTGTCTTCCCAATTATCCCTGTGATTTTTCCAAGCATGAAATAATCACTCCATTTGTTTTAGCTCATTACCGCAGAAGCTTTTCATTTTGTCCATGAATAAAACAATTTGTTTGGCACGGAGCACTGATGGTTAAGAATAGACCGAGCTAAGGAGTAAATTGTTTTGTGCTCAAGAAAGAGGCCTAAAACTATAAATGGCACATGAGCCATGATGTGCCACACGAAGTAGTTTTCCATTGTATATTCTGATAACTTTATTCAAATACATTCAAGAGTCACGGGCCTACTGGTTGATCTAGTCATGAGATGCTTCGCAATACGTTTTCAGCCAAAGAGTTATCGACATCTCCATTCGCTCATTTAGCATCATTCCACATCAGTGCATTGCAGCTTTTGATTAATATACCGCAGGCCAAATCGGCTCGGAGCGTATCGACAAAAACGATTCACCATGTGATATATTGTACGTAACCTTGGATTACCTGAACTCGGTGATTTGCTTGTATCAGTTGATCCCTTTCTATACCCAGTTTCCAAGCTAAATTTGCACTTATCCGAAGAAATGTGGTGAATATTTCTTCTGGCAACTTTGTTATCGACTCAGACATTTGGTTCATTTCACTGAGCACGTCAGGACGTTTGGTTAATGAGCATCTAGTGCGCTCGATAAAACGAATAAGTGTATGATGCATCAAGTAGTGTTTGATTAGGTGACATTTTGAGACCTCGTGAAAACAAACTGCAAGCACCCGCTTTTAATAATAGGAACATAAATGATTTAAAATTGAAGACCAGTACCCTCAGGATGTAATGGGATAGTATGTATTGGTTGGTGCGTCTTTTCCGATGTGTTTTTCTTGAATGCGTTTGTGGTAAGGTGCCTGTAGAGGCAGCCGAGGCGTAAACTGATCCAAGTCTGGCGTGTATTCCTTGTTTAAAAAACCAGTGTGATCCAATGCTGTTTTGTTCCGTCAGCTGGTCAGTGTGCAGAAATGCAGCTTTATTCTCTTCAGGATTGAAGGGAATCCAAATGATGCCTCATCATTTATTTGGGGCTTACGCAGAGTTGGAAATGCGAAAAAACTCATCTACGAACGCATGATCGTGTCCTGATTGGTTCATTTTGAAGGTTTCCACATTGTTCGAAAATCCAGGGAAATCCATTTACCAGGTCATGCATTTATTTGCGTCTAGGCATAATCACCCCCCACCGTCGAACGGTGTTGATTTCGTTTCCTTTTCAGATTCATTTGAATTCTATTTACCAGTCAGTGCTGAGATCACTCGTGAATGATGATCCGGAACAATTAGCTAAATACATCAAAAAACCACAGGAGAAACCTCCTTTTTTGTGGAAGCCATTCCTGAAAGAAAAATCCCTATTGGATAGAGCGAAGAGGCGCAATCTGTTACACGTAAGTTCCGTATGGGCACCAGAGCAGCTGTTTTTAATTGAAATTGGTTTCGAATAGTTCTGGCTCGGATAGCCTGGTAATAATCGGTGCGATTGACAATCCTGTATGCAAGGCTTTAGGGTTTGTTGGGGTATGTTGGATACTATAATACCGACACAAAAAGAACTGTCGCCAGCACCACAAGGTAAAAGTAAAGTATGACGAGTGGTTACAGCTCCGATGATGATGCGATAGAGCTCAAGGTTTTCACAGCGTTCCTGATCAGCCCATAAATTACCGTGAAAGATCAATGCTGGACATTCATGATTAGCGGCCGGTGCCGATCGATGCCGTTTGGTGTAAACAACACCCTTTCTAGCAAGCACGCTTCAAAATGTGGTTAGAAAAACTGACTGGAGCCCGGTAGTCTTTTTGGATTGCAATATCTTCCCTGCAAGGAACTTTTGCTGTGCAAGAAAATTCTCTTCGTTTGATTGACTACTTCCCTGAATGCAATTTCTCTAAGAGATGTTTTGAGCGATCCCGATTTGTTGGCAGTGAAATTACCAGTCACCCTTTGTCTACCATTCAAAGGTGATGTCAATTGCTTGCTCAAACGACGACTTGGATCAGCGATTACTCGAACATAAGCAGCTGACCTCAGAACTGTTCATCGAGCGATTAGGCTCCCCTCACCCTCGGTGAAGCAATGTCTACCTCTGTACACCTAATCTGATCTGATTTACTAATTCCATTGTGGTTGCGAAGCGACCTACGTAGGTCGAACAGAGTAGCAGTTAAGTAACCGAACGATTGATCATATTCCAAATTGGGTACAACGTTCTGTGCTGAAATCGGGGTCATACCAAACGCATAATGACAATGTGCATAACCATAGAATTCCGTCAACGGCCGTCGCTCATCATCTTCTGATGACGGAACATCCAGTCAACCGAAACACTGTGTTTCAAGTCATATGCGTGGCAAGGAATACCAGGTTATTAAGGTTTGCCATACATTGCTGGAAACCCGTGGTGTCCGCGGAAACAGCTGTTTGTTAATGTGTCTTTACCACAGTGGCATAATTTGTCTATTGTATTTTCCCCTATATTTGTGGAACATTATTTTTTACATGAACTTATACGAGTGCTATTGTTCAGCAGTATGCACCATGTTGAGATGCAGCGAAATCGTCCTGGACTTGAGTCGTGCTATGTTGCAACTCTGGCTTCCGTTTTCTAGATTATTTCGGCAAAAGCGTATTTCACTAATTCATGTGCATCAGTTTGCCTGTTTTTCTCTCCTGTCTGATCTCATCTTTCCCGTGCTTCCGGCAATTAGCCTTTCTACATTAGAATCTTAGAATGATAATTTCCTCGTTGTTTGAGGTGTCACGTTTGGAATGAGAATCTCAGTCCTTGGAGGTTTAACAGCTTAGCACCACTAATACACAAAGCCGTTGTGGTGTTAGAGACAGTCTGCACTACGAAGGTTCGAAAGCCTGATACAATTTTATCTGCCCATCTCCAAACTGGCATGCTATGGCTTTGTTACGTAGATGGATGCATCCCATCAGGTGAAATATCTCCGTTTATCTCAAATGAATTCTACATTGCATCTAACTATCAATACTATAACCTATTCAACTGAGTCCATATTTGATGCAAGTACTTAAGGCACGCACAAAATCATATGCTTATAATTCGTTCTTCTTTCTTTGTAATTAATCAGTGGGAGTCCTGATCGCTGACACTAACAGTATTACCTCAGTTATACGTCCCAATCAAATTTACGTTCTTCCAGTGACTACCGTTCAAAGATATCATAGAGTAACATGTGAACCACCGTGCTTTCCGAAGACTGGTAATCGTCATTTTCCTGGAAAGCAGTGCATCCCTCGACTTCATCGAAAGGAATGAAGTACACGGGAAGTTTGCTTGAATGATATCAATTTGCTGCGTGATACTAATCAGGTCACAGAATGCGCTTTCGATCGCTTAGAGAGTGGATTGTGGAATTATGACGCATACTTTGTTCCAACCAAGTGTAAAATGCCTTAACATGACTGGAAAAGGGTTTGAATCTAAAGTCATTATTTGGGATTTTGTCAGCTAAGAAAATTCGACTTCTCAAAGTATCCCAGAGGTCGCGTTACATCTGGAAGTAGCGCCAAAGAGATCAAGACTGAAAGGATAAGTGCTGTGGTGCGATAAATAGCGTATTCCGTACGATTGCAAGACTCCGAAGCTCTGCACTGAGGACGCTCCGTGGCTTTTATTATTTATTAGTCAATATCACTCAGACAATGACCGCGTTTGGTGTTAACGCCATGCAGACACTGATGCACTGTTGTTATTAATATAATTATACACCGGGTTTGAAGTTAAGGCACCGCACCAACGCCACATACGGATTAATGTGGCGTTTTAGAGTTGAGAACGCTAGCCCGATGAAAATCTCACCACATCCCCGAGCATTACCACTGATCGTCCGAGACAGCTTATTCAGTGGATCCACCTCATTTACGGGTAACCGTAGGTGCGCCGTTTCCCTGTCCAGGACCTGGAGACGCGCCCGGTAGCGTAAAGCTCTGAAATGTCCGGATCGGACAACCGGGCGAGCACTGATTGGGCTAGTCGTAGTGTTGTTCTAGGTGTCAATAACCAAAACGACTGCGCCCGGTGCATGATTGTTCGTGCTGACTGAACTGATTTGTTGGCTTTGAGTACTCTGTTCATTGCCTTCGTTTATTCAGATGCGCTTTGTGAATGGACATGAATCTTCCCTAGCACACACTCTCCGATTTCTGAGCATGGCTGGATGGAACTATCCAATTGTCATTGCATGGCTTGATGCGTTTGTATGAAGAAACTGGCGTTGTTACTGGACTCATTTGGTGCACTCTGACTTCTTCGTTGAAGCTGATTAAATACATTACTGGATAGGACTTAGGACTGTAGCCTGCGGCGCGAATTGTGTACGGCGTGCTTAGTAAAGTTCCACAAAAATAAACGAAACTCTGTGAGATCTGTGAGATCTACACATTCATTGGTTAAATAAATTAGCTTTTGTTTTAACTAGTAAAACGCTGGTGTGGCTAGCCCTATTCCAGTGGACATTTCTTCAATGTAATTATGTCAGGAAACGAATCACATCGCATCTCTATTTTTTATCGCATAATTGCGCGCGAGTGTAATAGTATTAATACATTCTCCATAACCTCGAAGACCCACCGTATCATGCGGGATTACCAGTAACCTGACCATGAGACTTGAAGTTGAAAGCCACGTAGGGTCCCAGTAGGTCAAGTATGGCTACGAGCCGGGCAGCAGTTTATACGCACTTTACTTTTTAGTTTTATGCGACTATCTCCTACTAGAAGATGAGTAGGCTCCATGAATATCTTGTATCATGGCTGACCATGCGTGGCAGTTGGAAGCGAGTTCGGTGCAGATCGCAATCCAGTTTTTCTCCCGTTGGCGGGCACCATAGGCTGACGGTAAGCGTAAGCGCTCTACATCCTTCTCGACAGTGTTGATCCACGTTTTGAACTGGCCACCACGGTGACATCGCCATTTAGAGCAGGGTTCAGGACGAAGTGTTTTTTTGGTTAGTTCCGTCCCGGGACGCCGTAAGATATGACCCAGCCACCGCAGTGGACGACTCTGGAGGAAGTCGGGAAGTGTGTCGATTCCTCAGCACCGTTTCCCAACTTCGTCAACGGATACTTTGTAGCGCCAATTTATCTTCGAAATAAGTCGCAGACACCAGTGATCAAATACCTCCAACTTACAATGGTTTTAAATATTTGTGTTGGTTGTAACTCAGGTTGTTGGTTGCCATGATGTTCTAATCGCTGAGCTTGGCGTTCAGATCGCAAACGTTTCATCATCAGTCGAGGTGCACTGACTATGTCATCTCGACTGGTGGTGAAACGTTTGCGATCTAAACGCCAAGCTCAGCGATCAGAACTTCATGACCTCCAACTTTCTAGTATCCTCAGCTCTCAAGGACCAGGTTTCGCACCCGTAGCGGATATGGGGCGTATAGCCACACGGCAGATACTCACCTTGGTCCGAAGGATAATTTCACTGCGGGTTCATAACGCTCGTCGTAGCTGGAGAAATGCTTTCCTGGCGTTGTCTGTCCGGAGTATTACTTCATCCTTCACCTGACTGTTCGGAAGCAGTGTAGTGCCTAGATACTTGGATGATGGAACGCATTCGATCAGTTGGTCATTGATGGACAGCTTTTGAGCTGTTCGCCCTGGGGAAGTTGACATGCTTTTGGTTTTCGTAGCGTTTATTTCTAGCCCGATGGACTTTAAGAGGAAATCGATTCAGTCAGGGACTGTTTGGAGCGTGACGGACGACTCCGCTAGCACAACAGTGTCATCCGCGGACTCTAGGTCCGAGGTGTACATCTCCGGTCTCAGTTAGATGTTGGTATAGTCAGTCAGTGCCTGTCTCATTGTCCAGTCGATCGCGTAGTTGAATAGCACCGGTGAAAGAAGGCAGCCCTACTTGACTCCCGTGGTGAGTGTGAACTCAGATGACTGCCTACCATACATACGGACCCGCGCCCTGTTGGACGAATAGTATCCTCTCAGAAGCCTTGCGAGTTAAACGGGCATCCCGTTGGATTCCATTATCGCCCAAAGGCACTCCCGGTTAAGTGAATCAAATGCGACCAGAAAGTCGATGAAACAGGCTACTGTTGGCTGCTGGAACTTGTAGTAGTGCTCCAGTGTTCGACGTAGTGTGAAAATTTGGTCCACACGGCTTCTATCACGGCTGAAGCCCCCTTTGTTCGGTCGTGTACGGTAGTCTCTCGCAACTGAGAAACGGTTGAGCAGCAGCACTCAGAAAATCTTCGCAACGGCGTTGATCAGGCCGATCCCCCTATAGTTGTCGCACACGGATTTGTCCCCTTCTTTGGGATGGGGAGCGGCACCGACGGGCCCCAATCAGTGGGAAAGACTTCTTCTCGCCATATGGAGCCAAATAGGGTGTGTGATTTGTTGATCAATGACGACAGGCATCACCTGTAGACTTCAGGTGGAATGCCGTCTTCTCCAGCAGCTTTTTGTTCTCTAACTGATCGGTGACTGTGGCGATTTCAGTTGTGCTCGGTGGATCGCAATTGACATCTTATGGCTTTGAAAGAACTGGGGGTTGTACGGCCGTCGTGTGAACTGATGGTCGGTTGAGCAATTGATCGAAGTGCTCTACCTATCGCTCCATTTTAATTTCTGCTCAGGTATGAGCAGACCGGCTGTGTCGCGTAAGAGCGACTCCTGCTTGCAGCGCCTACCTGACGCGTTGCGAATGAGGCGGATAAGCTTTCCAAAGTCACCCGTCCCTGCTGCTATCCAATACCGCTTACGATCAGCCCTAGCGGAGCGCGAGGCCTCGCATTGCAATCTGCGCCGTTTGCCACTTCCTGATATCCGGGCTTCGTGTGCTTCAGTCGACATTTGAAGTGTGCCCTCCGAGACCTAGCCTTTTAGACGTCTTTCAGTTTTCCCCAGTTCTTCTAACCTTTAACCTTCGATTTGATTACCATCCACTGTTCTTCTACTGGAGTTGAATTCGGTGATACGTTGGTTTCTGTGGGTAATCGGGTGGCGATTGTGCTTAACAGTGCTTGGCATTTCCAGGGCCGCGACGTTTATGCGGGTCAGTGTGGAGGCCTTAGGTCGTGCGGATAGATGGATTCTGAAGCACGCGTGAACGAGAACGTGGTCTGTGTCATTTGAGTTTCCGTCACTGCGCCACGGTACCCTCGACAGTCTTCTGCAGACGAAGCCCAATGAGACCTCGCTAGGATATGGTCGATTTGGTGCGAAGTGCGACCGTCGTTGGTGTACCATGTCAGTAAGTGGCTTTTAGGGCGCTGGAAGCGTGTGCTGCAAACGATCATTCTGCTAGAGTCGGTCAAACTGACCAAGACCGCTTCGACGAGTCCGACGGACTTGTGCAGCGTTTCAGTCTCCGGCGATGAACAGAATGTCACTTCTCTGGACCCGGCTGCCGTAGAATTCATTATTTGTCTCGCTGTCCGCCTCGTTGAGTGCAGCATAGACCGCAGTCACCTGTAAGTTTTGCGGGGAGCCTTTGAAACGTGCCAAAGCAAGTCTTGCTGAAATCGGCGCCCAAGCGATCATTACGTTGTTGGCTTCATTGTTAATGGTGAATGCGACATCGTGGCGCCCGGAGTTGTCTGTCGGGCCGCTATGATAAATCCAACAAGCTGCATGTTCTCCTGGAACTTTTGTGCACCGAGTGTCGAAGTTAGGTATGCGACTTCTGAGAGACAGGCTATGTCTGTGTTGTAGTTGTTTAGTGTCCTCATTGTGAGGCTTTGGCTGCCGAGTTCTGATAGTGTCCTTACATTCCAACAAGCTACATAAACCTGTTTTCTACAGTTGAGTATTCTAGCTTGTTGTCTTGACACCTCGACCGCTGGAGCACGAGGCGCGTCGCTTACCGTGGTCGCCGTAGCATGATCACAGTGCATGTTTACAAAAATATTCATAGGGATTCATGGGAATATGGTACTAGGCATTGTTCCCAACACCTCTCGGGACTGTTGTACTTCTCAGTCGCCTAGTTTGGAGTAGGAAGTAAATTGACGGTACCTCATCCGGCCTTTAGTTTGGGGAAGCACCTCTAGCCTGTGCACACCCAGGTGCAGACTGCAAGTCAGCAGGATTGTTCCAGATGAGCCGGTGGCCTGTTGTGCGGCTCATTCGCCTCTTCCGGAATACCACGTCGGGTAGGTTGGACAGTTTCCTTTTGTAGCCGTTAGATCAATAGATCTCCTCCGCCCACTCAAGTGTATATGTCATCGCATGCCGAACACGATATCACCGAGGTTTTTAGACCTCGGTTACTTTCAATCAGGTTTAGCCCGCCTGTCGGGCGCTTTGCCGGGATGTGGCCGCTGATGCATGCTTCAGCTTCGTGGAACCACAGGTGGGAGCTGGGTGAATGATGAAGACCAATGTGATAGAGGATACCGCAAGGGACTCGACAGTCGACCAACTCAGGGGTGCTACTCCTCTCAAACACCTCATACACTCTACAGTTTATTGCTGTCTATCACCTAAGTGCAGAGCTAATGATTGTTCAACCTGTAGTCAACCGTTTCACTCTCTTTAGCTCGCCGTTCTGCATGCGGCTTCACGTTGCGTTACAATGCTCGTGGAATCCCCCTATCTATGGGATCCAGACATACCTGATGCCAATGGTTGGACGGCGATGCAGATGGCTGAAGCGCTCAACAACATACACATTATGTATCCGTTGGCGCGTGTATCTCGCGAACTGCGTCATATGGAACCAGTCGTTTCGAGAAAGAACAATCAACTGACCACCACACATCTTTTTTGGCCGCAGGATTTGATGACTGGTGCATTCATTTCGCCATATGTGAGTTTATCATATGGTTCTTTATCCTGACGCAATGGCAGTCTCTTGTGGCTTTACCAGTTCCAAAAAAATCAAGGGTTTGAATGGACCTGATGCCCATATCTTATTGAGTACTAGGACACATTTATTATTACATGATGCAACTCTGTGTACCTGAATTGATGATCGATTGTTCTTCGTTGCTTGTTCGAGGCACTGTCTAGAAAGAAGCAACTGAAATTACAGTAAACTAATCGAAGTTTCAGCATACAGTGTACAAGTGTAGAAGCATGCACACATCATTTACTTCCAGTTAATTCGACCGAAAACGGCGTTCTGTGTCCTTCAGTGTTGTTTCAGAATGTCATCTCAGTTGTTGGCGTACCTATCACATTTGTTAGATCTGGCTACCGGATAGTTGGTGACACTAAACGAATCGTTCAAATTTTTCAGCCACTGGCACTTGAAATTTATAGCCACCCACAACATAACCAAGTACAACTTTCCTAGTCGCTTGGTTTCTCTTAATGCTTTGATTTATCTCACTTCCGTCTGCGTGATACTGCGAAATAACGATGAATCAAAGATAATGGCATTGAACGTTTCTCGGGTCGTAAAGTGCCAGACCTTGAATATTGCGGACGATATGGTTTTTCTAAGCGAAGATCCGGGTGAGTTGCAAGTTTTTATGGACAGCTTGACGGTATCCGTTTTACACACTCAAATTCCATGAACCTATTTCAGTATCTCGGGTAGCTATAGACCTGTTCGTGAAGTCCTGTTATCTGGGCAGCTGCACTTCACCTAGAAGTCGAATATCGGATGAAGTGCCTTCGCGTATACGGAAGTCAGGTCAGTGCTTCCGTATGGTTCGAAGGCATGGCCACTGCGGGTAGAATATATACGGGAAATGTTGGTGTTTGAACGACGATGTCTCCGTAGCATTGTTCGAATCTGGTGGGAACACCGTATAAGCAGTGCTGAGGTTCGGCGGATAGTCTCAGGTTCACGGATCAAATTATTAGATGAAATACTAAAGCTCAACAAGCTAAGATGGTTGAGAAGTGTTGCGCATATCCCCTGAAGGAATTCTGGTTGCACAACGTTTCCTGAGGCGGGTAACGGCTGGAAGATGAGTGATGGTCACTCTATGACGTGGGAGAAAAGTATGAAAAACCTAACCAGTGGGCTTGGCCACGTAGGTGATGTTAAACTTCCTTGGTGGGGTTTTGGAGACCCTTCCACTCTGTGGTGCAATATATTAGAAGATATGGTTTGGTATCGCGATTGATGGCGCTTTTGTATCCACAAGTTTTTTATCTGCTCGACATCAATATTTATAGTCTTCCTCTTATTCCTGTCATACTCTTTTCTTTTTCATTATTTCCTTTTGAGGTTGGCGCTAGGAGTTAGCAACCAAAGCTACTTCACCTAGTTATTGGTTGCCTGAATCAAACTGAACTGAAGTGAAACTAGAATTTTGGTGTCATTGAGTAAAATAACCACATACATATTTAACAGTGAATTGGGACCAAACCTCGTGCTAGCGCGACAGTATTAACAGTGACATAACAAGTAAGGTACAACGGGGTGTGGATCGGTTCGGTTTACGAACAACGGGAATACAACAGACAGGCAGTGCAGCTTTCACGCCACTAACGTCTATTCTGAGCCATGTCTCCCAACATCTACAACCAACGACAATCCTCATCCATTGCGTCTCAACAAGGAAGACGGGAAGCACCAGCCGAAGCCATAACTGTAGCTTCACCAGCACGTGGGAGAAGAACACGGAAAGTTAGATGATAGGCAGGCATACACGAAACGTGTCCGAGGGATCGTAGGTGGTATAGAGCTTTCACTTCAGTCAGAAGGCGAATATTCGTGCGTCACAACTGTAGAGTAGAACACTACGAACCGTAGCGATGTACACCCGTCCCTTATTAGACAACCAGATGTCACGGCAGTGTCACAGATTAGAGGAAGCCTTCCTAGCTCTCGCTGTTTGTGAGCCGATCTTTGCAATATCGCCTCCAGCTGTAATCAGGCTCACGAGGTACTTAAAGCAATTGACTAACTCTAGCTGATCAACACAACGGGTGAGTGTAGGCACGGACTTCTTCCAGTCGTATAGAAATAATTTGCGCTCGGAAGGCCGAGCGGTCCAAAACTTGTTGCATTGGCTGTGTGTATCAACCCGGGAACAAAACGTCATCGGCGCATTCTAAGTCAGAAACACTGTTCCCCGGGAGGAGTTCAGCTTTATCGTTTAGCAAAGCAGACAAGGCATGCTGTAGAACATCATCTATGAAGTTGAGGAGAAATGAGGATGTAGGGCAACCTAGAAACATTGCACTGGAGACGGAAAAGGTTAGCAAATTCTGGTCCTTGGTCCTAATCCGATCTGATGTATAGCGGTACTTCCGATACGTACTTAACTGGTACTCCATTCCTAAACACATTGCTATAACACGATCCTATCGATAGTGTCGAAAGCCGCGTGGATGTTTAAGAACAGTATGATTGTTGGTCTCTGGAAAGCATAACGGTGCTCTAGTAACTGTCAGACGGTGGATATTTGGCCGATAATTCCATGACTGGCGCGAAATCGAACCCGCTTCCTGCAAGTTAACTATTCACGAGTTAAAATAGCTAAACCGATCTATTCAATTCATCAGCGCTTCTGGAGTCGATCTCTTTTGTGACGTCGATGGTAAACATGAAACGCCTTAGCAATGTACCAAGTCCCGTATTTCACTAATAAACAACTGATGTAGGACTATACGCGTTTGTCTACCTTCCCGGAACTTTTATTGACAGCCGTTTGCAGACTTTCAGCGTGCACCGTTTACAGCCGAGCTATTCATCAGGTTCTGATCCTTGAAATGGCCTAGTGTTTTAAAGAGTTCATTTTTCTCAACCAGATTTTTAATGACTTCTAAATTGAACTTTCTGTGACCCTATTTAAACTGTTATTATTTTGTTCTATCGATTTTTGCAGGCTGACTGTAGCCGTCGCGTTGTTATGCTTCAGTTTTCACCCGAAATGCCTTGGAGACTGTCTGGTAGGCTGCCAACGTTTTCTGGTCGTGATTTGGCTCTACTTTTTGAACTTCTCCTCGCCGATCATCCGCTTATCTGTAGAGATTTGGAATGTCCTTTGGTGCTACCACTGACCATATGGCCTATTTGTAATTCATCAATGCTAAATCATGTTGGTCATATGCCCAACTGTGAGGACTACCCGAACTGTCTTTTGACGCAGTGGCTTCGGACGAATCGCTCCGGTGGAAGTTTGTCATTATGCTATCAAGAGACCATATCAGTTTGGAAACTGCACCGATTTGGATGGCTTCACCCCGATGGAGGTACACCTTTGTCTCTGAAAGAGCATTGTCGAATATGCTTTCGTAGACAAGTGACGAACTGCATAAGTGAGTCACTCGAAGGTCAACATGCATATTGTCTATGGTAATAAAATAGTTACTGGAACATGTAAACTTAAGTTATCCAGAGGGCTTTACTTGTGCCCCGTTATCGAAGTTTTTCACCAGTTTCCAGCGTGCTGGCCACTCATGGCGGCATAACCAATGTCCTTTTGTAATTGCACAACTCAATAATAGTTTTTTTATTTGGCTATTTTATCACAACAGGGCTGGTTCACGAATGAAAATTCCGTGTTCTGGATTGGTGTATGAAGTGGCCGAGAGGAGTAGCATCTCTAATTTGGTAGTCTGACATACCCCTTGGGATATCTTCCATGTCCTTGGTCTCCATCGGTTACCCAACGCTCACCTGTGGCTCCACGAACTGAAACATACATCAGCGGACACACCTCGGTAAAGCGCTCGATAGTCGGGCCAAACCAAGTTGTAATGTAGCGGAGACCGAAAAACCTCGGTGAGACGGTGTTCAGCATGGGAAGACAGTCGCTCCTGAATGGTCTACCGTTTGATTCCACGGCCAGAATGGAAAACTGTCCTATCAGCAGGGTCGCATGGACCCTTGGGTCATGGTCACTTCTACCGAATGACAAACGAGCTCCTACAGAGTCACCGACACCCATGGACCAAGGCCCACATTGAATGCGTTAGATGTCCCGAATGGGTTGACCGCCATCCAACCGCTTGATCGGTCGCCGGCTCCAAACACACGACCTTCCTTTAGCCCGACAGGTAATACTTCGTTGTGTAAGAGCTTAAGGTGCAGCCTCGAATAAAAAAGCCGAATGACACTGGGTACGCCACTTTGTACGCTATTCGCAAGACCTTTTATAGATTTTGCTGCTGCAGTACACCATAATTATGCTATGGCTTCACCGATAAGCAACGCACCTGGTGTTCTTTTTGTGACAGGGATGTCAAATATACTAGCTGGGAACCTCAAACTGAGCAAGCACATTCACATTGCCTGCTGGAATGTGAGAACACTCCTTGACATCGGTAGTCAGGCCATCACGACACGCACGCCACACAGTTACTAAATAGACATTGCACGTCTCTCCGAAATTCGTCTGCCTAATTCTGGCACACAGAGTTTTAAGTTCCCCGGAATAAACGACTACTACCGAGCCTACCACAGCTGACCTACTGACAACTCCGGTCTTCACGGCGCCGCGACCATCGTCAGTAGCAGGGCTAACAAGGCGCTGCTTTCATGGAACCCGATTTCCCCTCGAATTGCTGTATCTCTTTTTCGTTCATCGCCCCTGAACATATCAGTTGTTGCAGTCTACGCTCCGAAATTAACATCAGAAGAGACAATGAAAGATGAGTTCTACGACAGGTTGCAGGAAGTGGTTAACAGTGTCCCAAATGGAGATATACTTCTTGTTGCGGGGGTCTGGAATGATCGTACTGGTCTTTCAAACCAAGTGGCTAGATACATCCTAGAGAAATATGGCCTTGGACAACAATGCGACAATCGTACTCGCCCCGTTAATTTCACAGACTACAAAAAACTGAACGTCTCCGACACTCGCTTCCACCATCACAAGCTACACCTGCTGACGTGGTGCTCAAACGGCGGTCACATAGTACGCCAATTTAGTTCAGTTTATACAGTATGCTCACCTCGCACTGCTGTGCTCCGGTTTTGGTTGCTACCATCCAGCATCGTCCAGTAAAAGGCAGAAAGACTATAAGCATCAAACGAAAGAGATTCAAAGATCAAAGTAACAAGTGGAAATCACGAAGACAAAGCAAGAGTCCAAATGCAACCACGTCACTGGCCACGACACCTAGCCATATCACTTAATGTCTCCAACCATTTGGTATGCGGATCTCGTGGACCCCAACCTGGAAGTCTGACATGTCCTACTTGGCCAATTCTACTGGTCAAGGTTTTTATACCTTTTTACCATGTCATATACTGACCACCTCGAAATACCTCTCAACCATTACCGGCCTCAGAGAACAGCGTACGCCGAGGAAGTCTATCGGTGGACATGAGTAACACATGTCGCAACCAGCTTAACTTGTTTTGATTCAGTACTTGATCCACAGACCGACCTGTGGTTCCCAACACCTTACGCCTAACCTCAGCATTGCTGATACGGCGTTCCTATCATACTCGGGTAATGCTAGGGGGACATCGGTGCTCGAACACCGACAGTCTTCCCCTATCTTCTACTTTTAATGGCGATGTTTCTGAACCGCGTAAAAGAATGCACCTTACTGCCGTATTATGCACTCGACTCTTATCAGACAACCGGACGTCAAGCCGGCGCCAGAGATGGCTGAGGTTGGCCAAGCCAAACGGACCTTCTGTATAAGCGATATCATTTCATCCGATATCTGTCCACCTGATGAAACGTAACTTCCCAGGAACTGAACTTATTTACTTCAGTCAGAGATTCCCCTGACAAAACAGGATGTGGTGAAGCGCTAACCCAGTACTGCAAACTAGGTCGACCATATACTGGTACTATCTCGTTGGGCATCGTCGATCGAAGACTGCCGGCGCGATAGGGGTACAGTGAGTGGAAGCAAGAATGGTACTAATCACACCCTTGTCCGTGCGCGCCTCAAGATTGGCTTAGCTAATCGCTACAAATCCCGTGCCCCGAGAAGAAATAACGTTACTGACCTAGGATCACACAAAGCGACAAGCAGTATTAGGTGCTATCAGCGCTCATCTAACCGACCAGCCAATCAGGGAAGAAATATCGGTGGAACAACAATAGAAGTCACCGAAATCGCTTTGCACCTTCAAAGTGTAAAGTGATGTTACAAGACTGGACGTCAACGATTCCGAGCTTGATGCTCGATGGGGAGGTGCTTTCAGTTGTCGACCACTTCACCTACCTCGGCAGCAACGTGACGACGGATAAATTCACTGTACTAGAGGTGAGCACGCGTGTATCCAAGGCTCGAGCGGCCTACGCTGGACTGAAGCAATTGTGGCGTCCATCTGCTATTTCACTGAAGTTGAAAGGTCGTGTATACTGTGCCGCAGTGCGTTCAGTTTTGTTGTATGGTTGCGAAACTTGGAGTCTGCGCGCTGAAGATATTCGTCGTCTTGAGGTTTTCGACCACCGATGTTTACGTAGTATCGCTAAGATCGGGTGGATTAGCCGAGTAAGCAATGCTGAGGTCAGAAATCGAGTATTGGGTACTAATTCGGAGAACGTTTTGTCACAGCGTATCCAACTTAGCAGACTTCGTTGGTTGGGGCATGTGTTACGTATGTCAAACACACGTCTACCGTATCGCGTCTTATTCTCCGTTCCTCCTAGGGAGTAAAAAAGAGACCACGTGGAGGTCAACAGATGACGTGGCAAGGAGGAATGAGAAAATGTACAGCAGACTTAGGAAAAGTAGGTGCTTCACGTCTTCGTGGTTGGGGTCCAAAAGATCCGTCTGCCAGTTGGCTGGAGACACTGAAGGATATGGCTGCGAACTGCGAACAGTGTCGATCGTGTTGTCACTTTCTATCGAATCAGAATGACTGATCGGTGTACGTTTGTACAGTTAGACTGTGTATTCCGTGTGTTGGCTACTAGAGCATTCTTTCCTTTCCCCACCCATGTAGGTCCAGTCCCTGTCCATCGTGTATATTCATACTTTCTAATTCAGCATGCAACATGGTGAGAAAGGCAGTGGTCAGTGGGGCTTGCCCTACCGTTTAGCACTGTACGATGATGATGATGATGATGGTTCAGTCGAGTGACCTAACAAAGCATAGTATTCAGTTGTAGCCTGTGTGGGAACGGATCAGGTTACCCGAAACCGCCATTAATGTACAAGATGACACCTTGTCCTTTTGACCTCGGAACCGATTTTGGGCGTTCTTAGATTGCGTACCGATTGATAAATTTTCGCGAAATTCGGAGGGAAGGTGAGAAACGTATGCCCAAGGAAAGTCGGGAAAGTTTAGCGAATCACTTTTTAAAACAATGCTAATTGGTTTTCACTGCGATGCAGTGAAATACATCATGGTTATAGTGTCAAGTTCCGAGAACTAATAATCCAGTATAAACCGATATTTCGAATGGCTTTGGGCAACACCTGAAGCCACCCCATTGAGAACTCCATTTGCTGCACTGCTTGGGTGCTTGTAGCAGTCAGTCTTTTCAGAAAGGCGTCATCGGCCGAGAATCCCAAACTGAGTTTAAGGGATGATGGTCCATTGTGGCTAACACGCAGGGTAAAGACCTTACAAGATAAATGTAAACTATCTCTGAATGAAACGCCCCATGCATGGTGGGTTCAGTACCTGGTGATGCAGTTTTGCGGTTTCCACTCATTGGTGGAAACCTTAGTGGTTTTTTTGTCTTGATTTCCACGTTGGTTAGTGCAAAAGCAGCCGGTTAGGGCATCAATATGTTGGACGTCCTTATTGTGCAGTTTGAACCTGTTAAACCACTAACTTGGGAGAGCCCGAAGTTCTGGAAGAGCAATCAGTTTATCGTTACAACTGCGACAAGGAAATCTCGATCCTTGTTAATTCCTGTTTTGGTTCATAAAGTCTTTTGGACCAGTCAGGTCGCTTGATTTAAAATGTGCTGAACAAAGGCTTCCTGCCGACCAATCAGGAAATACTGTTAATGTGGTAAAACGAAAATACAATACATCCTTCCTGTTTTGAGTAGTTCCTCCCACCTGAATAGCGGATGGTAACTTTGGCCACCCCTTTTTCAAGACGTTGAGTGCTCCTCTCCGGCCGATGATTACATCAGGCTATCTGCCTCAGTCTGTTGCCCATCGTTTTCAGTGTCTCCACCGTTTTTTCCATCTTCGTTATTGCCATCCCGCGGTTTTTCCACATGAACTCCAGTGCTTCTTATCCAACAAATTCCAGACCGTATTAGGTATGGTTTACTTGTAGCGTGCAATAGCACCTCTCCATTCGTCCAGGATTTTTTTGTCGTTACCACTGGTTAGTTTCAATCTAATTGCTGAAAGCGCTACGACATCTGAGTTGGGTAACTCGG